GTCTAGAGGGAAAGGAAAGTTCAGTTGAAAGGGAGGGTGGCTTTTGACTATAAGGARCTTTCTTCTGGAGATGGTAGATTTGTCTACATGGAGGTGGGGGAGTAATATCCAAAGAAGGAGTGCCAGGAGTCAAGGGGTTAAGTTTAAACATTTTAGCAGACTTACAAGGAGGATACAGGCTGGGTAATTAATACTTCATTTCAGGGGTCACTGATGCATCAAAGTTGTTAATTAGTTTTATGAAAACAGATTGTGCAACYGCAGGGACACTGTAATTGGATAGTAATTGAAAATGACTCAATGGTAAGCTTTAGTTGAGTGAACCAGTTGTGGGGGTAACTTGGGAAGGAGAAAGGAATCTGAGTGGGGTTTAGGAGAATCAAATAGTGGTACTGACACAGCAATGGAGAAGCCATAATGGAAGGAATGGAAGGAACTAGATGACCTAGTCTAACCTCAGTTTAGAAATGAGGAAGCAGGTCTCATGAGGGAAATGGTTTTTCTGACACCATGCAGCTAGTTGGTGTTATATCTCCTTTCTTCCCTTGCAATGATTTTCCAGGATTTTCATGACTGTTAAGGGGCTGTGGGGAATGGGAAATGTGTTCTGAAGAGATGCCTCATGAGGCTGGAGTTCTGGCCCATTCCTGACTGCAGAGTCTATTCTGCAGAGCATGGTGGAGAAGAAAAGCAGACACATCAAAATCTTGTTTCATTCCTATATCCCATGAATGAGGCTTGGAAGGCTCTGCCATCCCCAGAAGCTAAGGGAAACTGCAGCCTTTCCCAGTGTGTCCTCTTAGGGAAGGTCAATCAACAGGGAAGTGAGTTTTCAGTTTGATACTAGAAGTGTTGAGGATTATTTTTGAGCATCAGTTTCTGATTTTGAGTTGGCTGAGCACCCAGAGTGGGTGTTTCAGCTTTAGAACTCTGCTTGGGTTGGGAAGGTTGGGAAGGACACAGCTGAAAATGGGGGAAAGGAGAAAATGACAGCTTTGGCTCATCCCAGTAGAACCCAAATACAAGTTAAACCACTGTTCTCKTGAATACTGCTGTATTCAGAATGATCAGATCCCCAAATTCCAAGTAAAACTCTGTTTACCCAATCCACTGGGATGGTTCCTTGTGCTTACTGTCTTGGCACTCAGAAAGGAAAGGAATCCAGCAACCCAGCTGTACATGTGAATTATTTGTTGAGTGAGGTCAACCATACATCTCCCTTCCCTTATCAGTTTGGATTAATAAATACCTGGAAGAACTAAGTGAGCCTGCATGGAAACTAATGAGGATAACATTTGGGATTCATCTGATCAAAAGAGATGGACTACTACTGCCTAAGTGCATGCAGTGGAACTCTTCCAATTTGGGCTCCAAGGAGTGCTCTTCCTGCCTTATCCTTGCTCCATTCCCTTTTGGTCTGTCTTACTGCCTCTACTTCATTTCTCAAGTTAGTATGAYTATCCCATGGCTTTAAAGCAAAAAGAACTGAGGTTTTCAAGTTTTTCCAAAGGGACATGCCTGTAATCCCAGCACCTTGGGAGACCAAGGCAACTTGACAAGACCTTGTCTCTAAATAAAATGTAAAACAGGTCTGGGGATGTGGCTCAGTGGTTAAGCGTCCCTGGGTTCARTCCCTGGAACAAAACAACAAAAAATCTGGTGGATGCATTTCCTTTACAGACTAAGTTTTCCCAGAGGCCATTCTTTTAAGTCTTAATATCTGCCTAAGCAGTAAGTTGGGGGTTGTATGAACATTTTTGTATCCATGAACACTTAACAAAAACAGAAGAGCTCAGTCTTGGAGATGATCTTCTAGCTATCTTGTTTCATGRCCACCAATATAAATAAGAGTTGCTGCAGTCACAACATTCCCAAGTTAGCAGAAGGAAAATATACTTATCAGTGGTGACTGCTTGTAAAAATAACATGTATTGTTTTTCTAATTGTAAGATTAATATGTCCCCTTAGAATTTAGAAAGCTCAAAGAAGCTTAAGGAATAAGTTAAGTTACTGTACTTTGTGACTCTTTTGTAAGTTTGTATTCAAAACATTTTAAAGGAATTAAGAACCTTTTCTATGGAAATCTGGCTTTTTTGCTTAGATATTTGTCTTCTGTTTAGTATCCCCAAATCTTATCATAATGGTCTTCATTTTTTATAAACTCTGAATACTAAATCATGAATTTTTGTAATTAAAAAAACAATTTATCTCACAAACCCTGGTGACTGTTTCTGATAGAGAGATCACAGTTAACACAGTACAACTACAGTTGCAGTGTTATAAACCAACTTTTATAGATATGGTAAATGGAGGAAAGAAATAAATTTCTATGTGCAATTTTTTTTCTTATGGGAAAAATACAAATAAATTTCAGACAGATTTGGAATGAAAGCAGCTACTGTTGCATAAAGTGAGAGACAGATATACTTAGTAGCTGAGTGGATTTCTAGAAGGATAATTATCATGTTGTCTCTGGCTTTAGCCATGCTTACTGGCTCCATTGTGGCAATGCTAATACCACTCCAAGGACATTTTCATATCTACCTGACTCTGTTCATTACAGGAGAGCATCAGTTTAGTGTTCTGCCTTTCCAAATTATGTTGGAAATTATGTGCTTAATTTCTACCCATAGAATCTTTTGGAAAAACTGATGGGAAGATTAAAGATGTAAAATTTTGAAATGAGTTCAGGAAATAAGTGGGTGGACTTAGTCTGTTCGCATGTGATTTGTGGGTGGGAATTTCTTTTTAAACAAGAACAGTGCACCATATTGATGGACTGTGTCTTCCAATGTAATGTCCTTGAGAACCAGAAAGTGGACAAGTACTCTTTGTCTAATTGAAGGCATGAAAAAAAAAAAGTATCTTGGCATGAACGGCCATGTGCATTTTCAGGAGAAGCGGCACATGCCAGGGCCTATTGAATTAAAAAATGTAAAGCATAGACATAAAACCTGTCTGAGGATCAAAGGAGACCTCTAGGAACAGGTGTTACCCATGCCCGAAACTTGCAATGGAATGAGAGGCARGGCGTAGGTGGTGGTTCAGAGGAATAGTGCTGCTAGTATATCAGATGTGTAGAGTAATCAGTGGTCTTACGCAATCTGCCGTCTGTTGCAAGAATTTCGCAGGCCTTAAAAGTTGTAAAAGAGGCAGTCATGTTTGCTTTGTGCCTTATATAACTCTTCAGTATAATGCTTTGAAATGAGAGTCAATGTTTYGGTTGAAGAATTTGAGAACATTTCACTTTAAGTATATGAGGGAAGTGATAGAGTTCTAAAGAGGGGTGACTAATAGCTCCAGGGAGTATGTACACCACTCCCTGAAGAACTCTGCCCCTGATCTGGCCACCTGGTTCCCAGACCTTCATCTGGGCCAGAAGAGCCAATAAAAGGATCAAGTCAACCAAGTAAGCAGGTGCCATAAGTGCCTGCCATAGTTCTCAAGTCTTTTCTCAAATGAAAGGGTCAAGAGGAGAAGTCAAGCAGGCCTTGCTGAGCCCTGGCTTTCCTCCTTTAAACAGCGTGCCTTCTCTGTACTTTTGTCGTTTCTCCTRTAAAAACAGAGTCACGTCACCTATGTTTTAGTTTTGTGTCTCTGTGACCAAAATACATGACAAATTAAAGGAGCAATAGTTTATTTCAGGCTCACTATTTTACTCTGAGGTGAAGCAGTACATCATGGGGAAAGGGCAGAGAATGGGAAAGCAGCCCATCTCCCAGTGCCCAGGAAATGGGGCAGGGGTGGTCACAAGGAAGATGAACCCTTCCAGAGTGTGCCACCAGTGAACCTACGTTCTAAAGCCACAACTCACCTGTTCACAGTTACTACCCAGCCAGGCCATTCAAACTAGGTTGGACTGATTAGGTTACAGCTCTTAGAATCCAGTCATTTTGCCTCCAAACATTCCTGTGTTGACACAGGTGCTTCTGGGGGACACCTCATATCTGAACCATAATAACCAATTGCTTTATTCTGGTTCTATTGAATCCCCCTGGGACAAGCCACAATCACACCTCACCTAGCCGTCATAGGAACATCCTAACCAGTCTTCCTACTTTGATTCTTGCCTTCCTAAAAATCCCCTCTTCACACTCCAGCTGTAGTGTTGTGATGCTCACCATCCCTGTCTGAACCCATCTTCTTTGCTTGTTTGCTTGCTGTTGTGTCTCTGATATCTACTCCAGAATGTAAGCTTGAGTCTCTGTTACATCTAGATCTGCCCCTTACCTGTTCRCCTTACTTTCAGTTGGGCATGGTGGTGCATGCCTTTAATTCCAGTGGCTTGGAAGGCTGAGGCAGGAGGATCATGAGTTCAAAGCCAGCCTCAGCAATGGCAATCAGTGAGACCCTGTCTCTAAATGAAATGCAAAATAGGACTGAGGATGTGTGGCTCAGTGGTTGAGTGTCCCTGAATTCAAACCCTGGTATCTAAAAGGAAAAAAAAAAAAAAAAGGGAAGTCATTCCACTTTTACAGTGTTCTTTAGTCTGCTGAGGTTTCACAAAGTACCTCAGCCTGGGTAGCTTAAGTGACAGAAATTTATCTTACCATTATTTTAGAACCTAGAAATCTGAGATCAAGATATCAGCAAGGTGGTGTCTCCTGACACCTCTCTCCTATGCTTGAAGATGGCACCTTCTCACTGTGTATCATAGGGTCTTCCCTCTCTGTATCTGTGTTCTCATCTCTTCTTTGTTTTATTTATTTATTTTGTGATTCTGGGCATTGAATCCAGGGGCACTCTATCACTGAGCTACATACCCAGCACTTTTCATTGTGAGACAAGGTCTTGTTCAATCGCCTCCAATTCTTGGTCCTCCTGCCTCAGCCTTTCCAAATAGCTAGAATTACCTGCCTGTACCACTGCTTTTGGCAAGAATTTAACAATATTAAATTGAACAAAAGAGTGACTAAGGAGTAATTTTTAGTTTCATTATTTTTCTTCTATTTTCATTTTTAATGTATATAATTAACAAAAATGTTTTCTCCCTCCTACAGCTGGAGACTGACAAACTGGCCCTCCCAACAAGCCCCAGCCCACTTAGCCCAAGCCCCATCCCCAGTCCTAACGTGAAACTTGAGAATTCCACTCTCCTGACTGTGGAGCCCTCCCCGCTGGACAAGAACAAGGGCTTCTTCGTGGATGAGTCCGAGCCCCTTCTCCGATGTGACTCCACATCCAGCGGATCCTCGGCATTGAGCAGGACGGGCTCCTTTATTACCAAAGGTACGATACCCACCAGTGGGGCTCATGATGCACGTTCTGAACTCCCCAGAAAAGCCCTAGGGTTTCTCTGTTGCTGATCCCATGGTCTAGTGGCCACTGAATAACTTGTTCTGGAAAACCTGCCCTAAACTCAAAGATAATACCAGCCTCTGCTCCAGAAAACCATCTCATTGACCAACGAGTCTCCACACCTAGGCCTGTGTGGAGAAGTGACTGTCACCCTTTGTCTTCATGATGCTGTCAAATGTGTATTTTGGGAAAAGTCTGATAAAATGTAGTCTGATGGGCTGTGTGTATGTGTGTACCAGGGATTGAACCCAAGGGCACTTAACCACTGAGACATATCCCAAGCCCTTTTTGTTTTCTATTTTGAGACAGGATCTCACTAAGTTGCTTAGGGCCTCACTACATTGCTGAGGCTGGYTTTGAACTTTTAATCCTCTTGCCTTAGCCCCCTAAACCTCTGGGATTATAGGTATGTGCCACCGTGCCTGGYACCTAGTGGGCTTTTTGAAAATTATTTATCAGACTTTCTAAATTCAGGGATTTCAAGTATATTGGGAGTCAGAAGTACAATTTTAGCAACATAAGTTGATCCTCTGATTGCTCTAAGCTACATTGCAAATAATGTTTTTTTAATAATAGACTGGTACTTTTGGTAAAAAACTTGCCACTTTTGGTGTGTACTAGTTAGTGTAGGAATTACGTGCACTATATTGACGGCAAAGTTTTGTTAGAAATTCCCTAGTTTTTAAGCAGTTACATTAAAATTTAGTGAAAGGGTTATAGTTTTTATTATACTTTATAAAATTACTATCTTTTATGTACATATTTATATATTTTTATTTATTTATTTTTTTAAGTATAGATGGATACATCACAATGCCTTTATTTTTATATGGTGCTGAGGATCGAACCTGGGTCTTGCCCATGCTAGGCGAGCGCTCTACCACTGAGCCACAATCCCAGCCCCCCATATTTATATTAATATATTTAATATTTGTACAAAATTTTTGTATTTTGTTTATATTTTTATATTTACATATTTTAAAGAGAATGTTTTATAAGTTTAATAGAAGTTAGCGTTTCCTCATCCCAATGTAAAGTATGACCCAAGAAGCAATATTTCTCATTTATGTGTTACTCTCTCAGCAGTTTGAAGTATTACAATGTAATCAGTATGTCAAATAGGCAAACTGCACTAGTTTGAGAGTTTTGATCATTTGGAAAAGGGGCAGGCCAACATAGATCTTTGTTTAGTAAGCACATTATTGATGGAAAAAGTAATGAAGTTTTTTTTAAAGTACTTTAACATTTTTTTTCCCTGAGTTTCAGAACAATTTAGTAATCATTTGAGTCTAGACAGATGTCACATTAATGACACATCAACAACCCATTCAAGCAGGTTCTTGTCTGATCTCTATTGGGCAGATCTTGTTTGTTATCTTATGTTCATGTTTTGTTTTTGGTACTGGGGATTGAACCTAGGGGCACTTAACCACTGAGACATATCCCCAGCCCTTTTTATTTTTTATTTTGAGATAAGGTCTCACTAAGTTGCTGAAGCTGGCTTTGCACTTGCGGTCCTCCTGCCTCAAGCCTCCCGAGTTGCTGGGGTTACAGGTGCACCATCATACCTGGCAAAAAAAAATTGTGTTTAAAAAAACAAATGTGCCTGATGGTCACACACTCACCTTGAGGAGGGGGGATTGGAGGGGTGACAGGTAGATGTCTCTCTCTAGGTAGCCCCCACTTGCTTTAACAGTCTCTTTCATCTRTCTCTTTTCCCTCCCTCTCTTCCCTGCAGAAAAGAAGGACACAGTGTTGCGGCAGGTACGCCTGGACCCCTGTGATTTGCAGCCTATCTTCGATGACATGCTGCACATTCTGAACCCTGAGGAGCTGCGGGTAATTGAAGAGATTCCCCAAGCTGAGGACAAACTAGACCGGCTATTTGAGATTATTGGAGTCAAGAGCCAAGAAGCCAGTCAGACCCTGCTGGACTCTGTTTATAGCCATCTTCCTGATCTGTTGTAGAAGTAGGGAGACTGCATTCTGAGGATCGTGCTGAAGATTAGTGGCAGGGTGGTTTTGTTTTGTTCCTGACTTTTGTTTTTTTGAGGGTGTGTGTGTGTGTTTAACAGAATATATGGCCAGTGTTTGAGTTCTTTCTTTTTCTTTACCCTTCTGGGAAGTTCGATTATAAGTCTTTTCAAGGTATAACTGYTGCAAAATATCCACCACTAAAGGTTTTTAAGTTCTGTATTATCTCCGTTTTTGCCGCCTTATGTATTTTCAAAATTGTTCTGTGCACTTTAAATTCACTTAACTTACCATAAATCTCAGTGTGACTTTTCCTGCACACTGGATTATGGGGCTCTTAACTTCTTAAAAGTGTAAATGGCATCTCATGAATTCTATAAGCAGTCTTTATGTCTTTCAACACCTACTTTTTTTTTCCACACCTACTTTAAAAAAATTATTACTACCATTTTTATTATTGTTTGTCCTTTACACATGTTCTTAAGAATTAAGGAAATTTAAGACCCTGTTGAGTTACTGTAATGCAATTAGTCTTTGGATTATCTTTTTAATATGTCTGTGTGTAGTTCATATTCATGGCTGAAACTTGACCACACTATTGCCGATTGTATGGTTTTCACCTGGACATTGTGCAGAATGCTTGATTACTTGTGCCCCTCTTAATGTTAATATGCTCTGGGCTAGAGAAATGAAATCCTCAAGCCATCCGGACTTGCCGTTTCAGTGGCTTGACACCTGGGCCACCAAAGAATTTGAACTTCATCTTTTAGGGATTGAGCTGTTCTGGCACACATTGCTGCACTTCGGAAAATCAAAATTGAGTGCCAGTGGCACCTTTTCCATAGAGAATTTGCCTAGCTTTGCTTTAAAAGATGTCTGTTTTTATACACACATAGCCAATAGATCCAGTCTGCCCTCAAGGCCTTGATCTTGCTGGATTTCCTTCATCATTCAAACACTTTAATTAAAAATGGCTGCAGCTGTAAGAACTCTTGTCTGATATATTTGCAACTATGCTCCCATTTATAAACCTACTGTCTAATGCTCAGTTGCCAGATTCTAATGCAAAGGTGGTGTGAACTCCCTTTGTGTGTTGGGGGTTTGTGGGTAGTGGTGAGGGACCGATATCAGAAAAATGCCTTCAAGTGTACTAATTTATTAATAAATATTAGGTGTTTGTTACTTGAGTAGTTTGAGTGTATTTCATCCTTAACTGCTGCGCCTTGTACATATGCTCAGGTTATAACCCTATGATTAGTCTCTTGAAAAAGTATGTGTCTTTTACCTTCCTCAGGGTATCTAATCTGTCAATCATGCAAATTAGCAAAGGTGTTTGAAAAGGTACTTGGAGGCTCATAGAGAAGGAAATTTACTGAGCATTTCCTATTCTTTTGAGCTAAACCTTAGGTTCCTATTGTTAAGATTGTCCCTATCTTAAGACTAAGGATACAGAGGTACAGCAGAGAGGTGCAAATAATGACTGGTCCTGGGAGTGTGTCCTTACTCATTGCCATTGAAGAAATTTGCCTCTCCTGAGAGGGTCTATCCAAGTTCACAGGCTTCCATAGGAAACCTCATTGTTCCTGAGTAACTCCAATTATAATGTAGTATAATTTATTATATGCCTAGGGAGCCCTGGCTCTACAGAATTCCAATGACCAAAATCTCAGTTCCTCTTCCAGTGAATAAATGGAAAGGGACACCTGTGTGTACTCTTGTCAGTGACATTACAAGGTTTTTCTATTTTCATCCACTTCTGCAGTTGGTTTCCAGAGAATTATCTTGACATTTGGTCATCCTGGTTCTCACATCATGTTTCTCTTCCTTTCGTTAATGAAAGACAGGAGCTCCGTTACACAAGTGTAAACTAGAATAGGACAGAGATGGACATGGAGGTGACAGATCTGCCACTTGGTTTATGTAGGAGTAGAAAATATAATGAATTAATAAATCAGCATTACAGTTGTTTGTAGATTATTTGTAGCTTGGGAGTGCTTTTTATTAATAACCCACATTTATATTTTTAAACTTTACAAAGTGCTTTCTATAGAATTTTATAGAATCCTCACACTCACCCTCTAAAATAAGTATTATTATTGCATCTATCAAAATATTAAATGTTAAAATAGGTACTATTATTACACTTATTAAAATTCTTCTTAAAAGAAATAAGAAATTGCCTTATAAAGCTAAGGTACTTGCTTAAGGCCTCACAGCAAAGTTATAGAGATGAGACTTGAATCTGGGTGTTCTGATTGTCTCACTTCAASACTATTCAGGAACAGCAACTAGAGACATAGGAGTTGTGGTTAACAGAAGCTTAATTTTGAGCTAACATTCATGGTACATAGGCTTTCTAGAAAAGAATGTAAATAAACTCCATCTGCACTACCAAGGTACACAGTTTTTTAAATTGTTGTTTTGTTTTTTAAATTTTATTTATTTATTTTTATGTGGTGCTGAGAATCGAACTCAGGGCCTCATATGTGCTAGGCGAGTGCTCTACTGCTGAGCCACAACCCCAGCCCAAAGGTACACAGTTTTGATCAGAGCTAAAGATTGCATCATTTGAACTTTGTGATTCCCTGGTTTGGGCTCCCTTATTTTGAGAAGTATGGTGAAACTAGGTTTCCAGTGTAAGGGTGGGGAGGTGGGGGTGGGGGGTGGATAACCAGAAGAGTAAGAAACGGAGTTAGGAGCAGCTATTGGAAACAAATATCCCCTAGGCAGAGAAAGACTAGCTTCAGTAATTTGAAGGCTAAGGAAGAGACAATTTTTTTTTTTTTTTCAGAGAGTAACATAGTTTTTGATAAGCTAAGTTAGACTAAATGCAATTAGATCAGGCTGCTTTTCAGAGAATGATCTCTCTCTGGGAAAAAGTTGGACAGGAGTCATTGGCTCTCAAACTTTCATTTAAATAAAGATTACCAGGGAATGAACAGTTTGTTAAAAAGGCAAATTCCCAAAGTCCAATTAAGGAGGTTTATGGTGAAATCCAGAAGGAATCTCCTACACACTTTATTTTGGCCACATGTAGAAAACGATGTTTAGATATTTTAGATTCTTATCACTGTGGATCTAGGACCTGACAATATCCACAACACCTGGAAACTAGAAATGCACAACTGGAGGACACTTTGATGTTCTCCTTTAACTTTAATGTGCAAATGAAACACAGAGATGGAGAGGTCTTGTTAAAATTCAGGTGCTGTTCCAATTGTTTTGGGGGGTGGGGCCCAGAGGCTGCCTCACTAACAAGTTAGTTCCTAGGTAAAGAGGTGCTACAGCTCTTTGCATCATGCTAGGCACCACCAATAATGCCTCCATTTCACACACCAAAAAGTAGCATTAACGTGGGAGAAGACTACACCAATTCCACCTGAGGAGGGAAAAAAACATTTCRATGATCCAAAAGGATTTGCTGAACCAAGCACTCCTGGTCAAGATCTACAGATGGTGGTTCTCAGTCCTAGCTGCACATTGGAACCAGCAGGACAGTCCTGATAAAGCCAGTGCCCAGCCATACTCCAGAGCCACCATGGTAGAATCTCAGGATGGGTCAAGAGGCAGAAGCATTTTTAAAAGTTCCTCAAGAGATCTCAGTGTGTAGTCAGGTTGGAGAATCACTATTTAAGAGCTTGGAAAGATTGTTTCCTAAACCTCACCTAAGATCTGATGAGTAAATCTTCCAGGAAATTAACCTGGGACTCTGTTATTTAAATGTGATTTTGCTATAACCAGCCTGAGGAAGCCCATTCACCTCCAGGCAGGTGGGAGGTGAAAAAGGAGAGGAAGGGACTGGGGTCCCAATATCCCCTTCAAGGGCATGCCCCCTGTGACCTAACCTCCTTCCACCAGGTTCCACTCTTCCACTAAGAGTGCCACAGGTTGGTCACCAAGTCTTTAACACCTGGGCCTCTGGGGGATACTTCCAATATCTAGCGCTGTGCAAAGAATTGATACACTATCAAATACTGAGGGAGTGATACCTTAAAACTTAATTGCTGAGCTGAACCTACCTGCAAATAATTCTTCATTGCTTTGATCATAATATATCAGGTATGATTAGGACAAGAATATTAAGGAAGTGATGTTATTCTGGCTTAGGTTATAATATATACTTAATAGACGGTTTGTCTGTTTTTAAAGAGCTGTAGTAAAAAATGAATCATGAGAATGCACTATCTCCTAGTGATTTTTGTAGCACCTAGACCATCTGCAACATCAATCTTTTTGTATAATGTTGCAAAGCAGCATGTACCTAAGTTGGACTTCGACTTGAGGAAACAACTGTGATCTCTTGTCTAGCACACATATGGTCCTTTTTTTTTTTTTTTAAAGGAAATTTGGATGCCATCTAGAAAGCCCTGTGGTGTTCTGGGAGACAGCTATGTCCATATCTGCAAGTCAGTGGTGGAGCCTGGTCAACTGAGTCCCAGGAAGCACTCTTGTGTGATACCAAGTTTTCTTTTTGCCTTTACTTGAAAGTTAAAAATAAGATCTACTCATTTGAGTAAGGACTGAGTTTTTGAAAGATTTTTACATTATTTGATTTTAAACAGCTATATATGCATTCTGGAGTCCTGGATTTCAAATATGTTTATAGAATATCTTGCAAGGATGTGTAAGAAACATGTATAAAAAAGATGCCTTGAGGGAGAATGGGCAAGTCAGGAGACAGGAGRAAGGAAATGCTTTTGTCATGATATGCACTTTTGAATCTTTGAGTTATCTACCATTTATATGTATTTTTGAATTTTTACAAATTATAAGTGAAAAATTTTTAGAATATTTCCATGGCATCCAGGAAATGTGCACCCATGAAGGCCAAGGTAGGAATTATATAAATCAGACCTGAAATGCGACTGTCAGCATTGTAGGGAAATCTGTCAAGTGAATTAGCCTCTTGCCTGCTGTTGTAGAAATGGTGATTTCCCCTTCTCACCCCAGCTTCTTCTAAGGATTTGGGATCCTTTTGTTGGGGTTTCTCTCAAGCTTATGCAAAAGTAATAAAAAGTTTAAATGGGAGAGAAATTAGAAAGATAGAACTTAGCTATTTTCTTTCCCAAATATATATATATTAGCACAGGAATCTCTCATTACATCTTTTTGAGGAAAAAAAAAAGTCACAAATGTCACAAGAGTCTCCTTGGTAGTCCTTTGTCTCTTCAAAGGAGACATTTCTGTTCCGTACCAGTGCTGCATGATTGCTCAACTTCTGCTTTATCCATACCAAAATGGCAAATAGGAAATCTCATGGGGGATGGAAGAAGAGGTAAGTAAGAAAGCGCATTTCCAAGAGTCCTGTGACATTTGTTTCTCATTATTTATTACTCCACTAATCCATCCATCAAACATTSTAATAAATAACAAATTGTAACTACCAATGAGAAGTAACTACCATAAATCAGCTACATGATCAAACAGCCCCCCCGGTGCTAAAAAGTGAACATTTCCAGATATATTTCCACAGGTGCACTGCAGGTACAGTTGATGTTCATTGCTTTGTCCTGATGTCTAGAAGCATGCCTGGAACATGGCAAATGACCAGTCACTACATGCTGAATAAATGAATGAATGAAAGCTCCTGACATCCACAAGTTCACAACTTAGTAAGAGAAACTAGGAGCAATATGAACATAACAAGAAACTATGAGAAATATGGATATCACAATCAAATGTAGCCAAGTGTAAGGATAGTCATATGAATGGCATATTAGAAGATCCAGAAACTAAATATGAATCAAGGATAAAGATGGCAAGATTTTCTAGTGTAAGCCTTCCTCCTTATTGATTTCAAAGAAAACTCTGTCAAAAACAAAGGGCTGACAGTTGAAGTKCAGTTCTATCCATTTAGAAGCTTTGGGGAATGATGAAAAGGAAAAGAAAAATCAAGAGGAAACTGAAGTTACATTGTAGACATCTCATATAAGCAAGGATTGTTTTCCCACCATTTCCCAGGCTTTTTGTTAAAAAGCATGAGACAGGAGGTCCAGTCATGTGACTGCTTTGCACATATCACACATTCAGAGAACACTCCACCTTTACAGTATTCAGTGCACTTGAGATTATTCACYGTTCATTCTTATCTGAATCTTGTGGTATAGGAACTCTATTTCTATTCTATCAATGAGAATAGAATAATTCTTTCATGGAATAATTGTTTTCTTTTGAGTAGAATC